CTCTGATGCTGCTTGGCCTGCTGTGTTCATCCAGCTCTACACCTTGTTATCTCAGATTCTCCAGCATCTGCAGTTCCTACTATCTCTAAATTTGTTCTAATGTCTTCTCCAAATTACTACTGCAGCTTGGGTTCTATGTACAACCCTATTGTTGTTTTCTGCTTATTGGTGTTTCTAAGCTCGACCTATACAGATCCTACTTCACCAGAGCCTATATCCTTGCTCACAATCACATTAATTTATCTTTTTAATCAGCAGTTCTACCCACCTCCTTTTCCTTCTTGCCTGTGCCACCTGACCTCCTTACACAACTCACTGATTCCAGGTATCAATCCAATAAACCTCTTCTGAATCATCTCCAAAACACTTACACACTTCCTGAAAGATGATGAAAATTGCACACAGTTTGAGAGATATAGTCTCACTAACTCCCTGCATAAATGAAGGTGAACATCCTTACATTTATATTCAATTCCTGTCATAAAAAGATAGCAGCCCATCAAGCTTTCCTGACTACATGCTGTCTCTGCATAGTAACTCTGTGACTCATGCCTGAAATCCTTCAGCACTTCAGAATTCTGCTGCCAATGTCCACTTATGTATATTCTGCTCTTATTTATTCTTCCCACCTAAGTGAATGACTTCACATTTTCCCACAAGATATATTTTGCCTATACACTAAACCTATCTCAGTGGTTAACACTGCTGCCTCACAGCACCATGACCAAGATTCAATTCCTCCTAAGGAAACTGTGTGTCCACGTTCCCCCTGTGTCTGCATGGGTTTCCTCTGGGTGCTTAAATATGCAGGTTAAAAGGATTGGCCATGCTAAATTGCCCATAGTGTCCAGGAATGTGTAGGCTAGGTGGATTAGCTGGTACAGGGATAGGGTGGTGTGGGTTATGATTCCATCTATACCTGTCCACAACCTTGTGTTCTCATTATAACATTTTTTTTTCCATCCTTAGCTACCATGCCTTCATTCCCTATTTAAGAAATTTATGTAAATTCTAAAAGTTTGGGTAATGTTTTAGACCCAACTATTACAAGATGGGCAAGAGACAAAGGGGTAAGAAAGCATTTTTTTCCAGAATGGGTGGTACTACTCAGTCTTCTGTGCTTATGGTTAGAAACAAAGAGAATCAGTGACTTACATAGACCAAATTACTTTTTCTGTACTATAATGATACGAAGACTATGATACTCTGTTCAGAATAAAATTCAGGAATCAATGCGGTGAATCTATGCTGCAACATCAAGAAAGTCCACAGCTCCTCCTTCTTCAGGTGTAGTGCCCCGATCTAGATACATCCTCCAGCTGCGAACGATTTTGATTCTCTCGGAGTTTTTTCAGTGATACTGATCTCGGAAATCTTTTCCAACAGACAAACGTTTTACTTTGCACGATTAAAGGCCGGTGATAGTGAGATGCTGGTGAATGGAGTGACTCTGGATCTTGATGTGATATCTGGTCGGGACTGACGATTTGGAAATGCTTCCCATTCAACGTGCTGGAAAAAAAGAGTCGAACAGAAACGCATCGTCCCCTTAGTCCAGGGACAGGCAGTTCGGCGCTTGTTCCAGACACGACTCCTCATTCACTGATTGGTTGGATCACTAGCCACGCCCCTCATTCTTACCGATAAGTTGGAGGTCCAGCCCACCCGAATTCACTCTGGTTGGTTGGAGGATCAGCAGGTCTATCGCAATGCTCCGGCCCCACCCCTTGCTTACCGAGCAGGCGGGAATGGTGTTGGAGCATGCGCATCATTTGCTAGGATCGTGAGCTGGAACGGAACGGAGTGCTCTCAATGCTGCGCGTGATAGACGGAAAGAAATGTTCGGCTGTCTTATGTGAAGGCGGTAAGTTATAGTTAAAGTTAGCGTTTATCGCAACATTCCGGCAAGAAGGTTTCATCATTGCCCAGTATAGGTCTCGAGCCCCAAGTATGGATTTTCCGGTGCCGCGATTTAAACCGCAGGGAGTCTCAGGCTTCTTCCCCGACACAGGCCCCGGTCAACGGCCGTCCTCGTAAGAGACAGTAAGAACTGTAGACGCTGGAGATAAGTGTGGAGCTGAAGGAACGCAGGAGATCAGGCAGCATCAGAGGAGCAGGAAAGTTGAAAAGGGAGCTTTTCTGAAGAAGGATCCCGATCCGAAACGTCAACTTTCCTGCTCCTCTGATGCTGCCCGGGCCTGCTGTAGTCCTCCAGCTCCACACTATTATATCGGCCGTCGTCTTAGTTCGGCGGGAATGCGCAGGCGCAGTTAGCGTAGCGACGCTATAGTGAGTGGGCGGGCCCGTGTTTGCTCCTCCCCTCCCGTTCCAGGTCACCCTGATGACATGTGTCATCAGTTAAGTATTCTAAACCTGCACACAATATTCCAGGTCCCAACCAAGACCCTGTGCAATTTCAGCAAGATATCCCTGGTCCTGTACTCAAATTCTCACCATAAAGGCCAACATACCATTTGCCTTGTTCACCTCCTGCTGTACCTGTATGCTTACTTTCAGTGACTTGTGTACAAGGACATGGAGGTTTGTTTCACCTCCCTCTGTCTCAATCTATTGCCATTCAGATCTTGATCGTCTTGTTTTTGCGAACAAAGTGGATAACTACCCATTTATCCACATCATCATTCATCTGTCTTGCATTTTTGCCCACTCACTCAACTCCAAATCACAATGAAGCCAAACTGCATCCTCCTCCTAGTTCATTGTCTCAGCAGCCCTTGTTGTGGAGTCATAGGGATGTACAGACTGGAAACAGACCCTTCAGTCCAATTCGTCTATGCTGACCAGATAGCTTGTATAAATCTAGTCCCATTTGTCAGCGTTTGGCCCATATCCCTCTAAACCCTTCCTATTCATACACCCATCCAGAAGCCTTTTAAATGTTGTAATGATAGCAGCCTCCACCACTTCCTCTGACAGTCCATTCCATACATGCACCACCCTTGGCGTGAAAAAGTTGCCCCTTAATCCCTTTTTAAATCTTTCCCCTGTCTCCATAAACCTATGCCCTCTAGTTTTGGACACCCCACCCTGGGGTAAAAACCTGGCCTATTTACTCTATCCATGTCCCTCATGACCTTCTAAACCTCTATAACGTCACCTGTCAGCCTCTGACGCTTCAAGGAAAATAGCCCCAGCCTATTTAGCCTCTCCCTATAGCTCAAACCCTCTAATTCTGGCAACATCCTTGTAAACCCTTTCAAGTTTCAGAACATCTTTCCAATAGCAGGGAAGCCAGAACTGAAAGCAGTATTCCAAAAGTGGCTGAACCGATGTCTTGTACAGCCATAGCATGACCTCCCAACTCCTACACTCTGCACTGACTCATAAAGGCAAGCATACCAAAAACCTTCTTCACTATCCTATCTACTTGCATCTCTACTTTCATGGAGCTGTGAATCTGTACTCTAAGGTCTTTGTTCAGCAACACACCCCAGGACCTTACCATTAAACGTGTAAACCGTGCCCCAATTTGCCTTTCTAAAATGCAGCACCTCATATTTATCTAAATTAAACTCTGTCTGCCACTCCTCAGTCCATCTGATCAAGATCCTGTTCTACACTGAGATAACCTTCTTCACTCTCCATTACACCATCAATTCTGGTGTCATCTGCAATCTTACTCAATATATCTGCTATGCTCATATCAAATCATTTGTATAAATGACAAAAAGCAGTAGATCCATCACTGACTCTTGCAGCACACCACTGATCTCCATTCCGAAAAGCAACACTCCCTCACCACCCTCTGTCTACTACCTTCAAGCCAATTATGTACCCACGTGACTATTTCTCCCTCTATTCCGTGTGGCCTAACCTTGCCAACCAGTGTACCATGTGGAATTTTGTCGAACGCTTTACTGAAGTCCATATAGACCACGTCCACTGCTCTGCCTTCATCAACCCTCTTCGTCACATGTTTTCTATGTGCTTGGAGATATGATATCTAAGTTTCTTCATCTAATTCATTAATATATATGTTGTGAATAGGGGAGGTGATTGCCTCATGGTATTATTACTGGACTGTTAATCCAGCAATAACACTGTTAATATTTTGGCTACCCAGGTTCAAATCCTGCCATGGCAGATGGTGGAATTTGAGTTAAATTTTTAAAAGAAATCTGGAATTAAGATGATGACCATGGATCCATTGTTGATGGTTGGAAAAACGCATCTGGTTCACTAATGTCCTTTTAGGGAAGAAAACTGCTATCCTGACCCAGTCTGGCCTACACATTGACTCATTAACTGAATGAACAAAGAATAGCTGGGGTCTAACCACTGATTCCTGCAGTACCACACTAGCCACTGCTGCCATTTTTAAAAAAAAAAAAAACGAGCTGCTTATCCTGACTCTTTTTGTTTCCCGTCTGCCAGCCAGTTCTGTATCTGCGTCAGTACACTACTCCCAATCCCATGTGCTTTAATTTTGCATGTTAATCTCTGCTGTGGGACCTTTGGATGTCTTCTGAAAGCCCAAGCCGCAGTAAACCATATCTACTGCCTCCTTATTGATTCTAAATGTTGCATTCTTGAAACTTTCCAGCATCTGCAGGGGGGTTGAGACTGTCGCACATCTCCTGCTGGAATATGCCTTTCCAAAAGATGTCTGGAGACAGATGCACTGGGATTTGTTGAGGTTTGTCCTGAGCAGCTCCGTGATGCAGGACTCCATGCTGTATGGTCTCTTTCCTGGGACGCACACCAAGAAAAACACAACTGCGCCTGAAGGACCATCAACTTGGTGAAGGACACTCTGTGGTCTGCCTGAAACTTACTGGTCTTCCAGGTGAAAGAATTGACCCTGACCAAGTGTTGCAGACTGGCTGCAGACAATCTAAGTCTAGGACTGCGTGCTGAAGGACACTAAAGCTTGGGACAGCTGCCGCCAAAGCGGATTGAGGAAAGACCACTGTCTAAGGTCTTTCTGCCAAAGTACAACAGAGGTATGTTCGGTTGTTGAGGCATTGGGAAGGTCCAGATACATGTAAATAGATCCTAGTACCCAGCATATTTCAGAAATGCACTGAGATTAGTTGCAACTATCAAAAGTCACAGCCCAAAGTTTGTTTTCTTTTCTGTACGCAAAAACTGCTTAGATCTGAACAGCTTTAGTAACTGTATGTACGTAAAGATTCCATTTCTTACAAATAAAAAATACCTTTTGCCAAAAAAAATTCCAACAACAGTTCTGATCTAATTTACATCAAATTTTTATCATTGCAACATGAGCAATGCTAAAGAGGCCAGCATTCACTGCTCTGCTGCTGTGACAGTTCTCACAGTGCTGTTCAGTGAGGAGTTATACCTGCTGTCTGACAATCCTCTAAAGAAACCGTGACATGTGTCCACAACAGAACAGTGTGTTTCTGGGACAGATTTGGGGTTTATAGGTGATGATTCCCTAAATGCGGTGGTCTTAACTTTTTTTGAAGGAAGGATCTGTCGCAGTTATTCCTGTGATGCGAATGAGGAAATAATGTCCTTAAGTGTCCCTCTGCTCCTACCATCTCTCTTCCCTTTGAAGGCAAAGTTTTTTTTTTTTTTTGTTTTTTTTTTTTTGTGTGGGTCCCCTTCCCTGAACCACCTCCACAATAACCCTCAACACTGGAGCCCCCAAGAATGTGTTCTCAGCTCTCTACTGTACTCGACTGTACCCAAATTCAAAATGAATGCCACCAAAGTTTTCTGATGACATCCACCGTGGTGCTACCCTGTATATACTATTGGAGTCTCAATGCCAGTTTTGATACTTCAACCTCACCCCCACCCCTCCCTGAAGCAAACTTCTAGAATAGTGAGTATCCCCTCCCCAGTCTCTTCTTAACTCTTGTCCATCTCTCCCTGACATTTTACTCCTTCTCTCCCTCTTTTGTTCCCTTGTTTCTCCCTCGATACTGCCTGAGCTGCTGAGGATTTGCAGCACTTTCACTTTCTTGCAAATCTCCTACCGCACATTCTTATGTCTGTTGTAGGGATTGCTCTCAGAACCCAGTCTCGAACTGCAGGCGTATCCGGTAAAGAGCTGCTTCACATCAGGATGGTGGTTGGATGCGGAAGTCTGTCCCTGGCCTCTTGTGTGGGTCACTTTTTGGTGTTTCATTTTCATCCACAGTGGAGAGCGAGGAGAAGCTGCTGGGTTTAGCCCACAGCCCCACAGTGCTGCTGAGACTGACTGCTGCAATAACTTCCAGTGGGAGGCTGTCACAGAAAGTATTCCCAGGGTTAGTTCCTAAACTGAAGGTGTCCAAAGTTCAGGCATTTACTTCAGGAAGAGGCTTTTCTCCAGAGCAGTTCAAATCTACTTTATATTTAATTTTATTGCTGGGACAATGAGCAAGGCTAAAGAGGCCAGCATTCGCTGCTGTGATAGTTCTCCCACAGTGCTGTTCAGTGACGAGTTGCAGGATTGTCAGGCAGCAGCTATAAAGAAACAGTGACGAGTCCACAAGAGGGCAGAGCATGCCTGGGAGGGGAGTTTATAGGTGATAGTTTTCCATTCACACTGCTCTGGACCTTGAAGCGAGGATCTGACAAAGTTATTCCTGTGATATAAATGGAGGAAACAGTGTCCTTAAGTATCCCACTGTTCTCACTGTCTCTCCTCCTGTTGAGGGCTGAGTCTTATGGAGATCCAGGGCAGGCAGCAGATCCCCTTCTCTGAACCATGTTCATGAACTAGTTGAGTATTTATGACAATCCAATAAATTTTTACGTTGTCACAATTTCGGAGTATCTTTCACACAAATTACCGGATTCATTGAATTCCATTTCACAACCTCCTTTTACTGTCCTAAACAGTTCTCTTTCTCTTTTTCACCTTTTTCCTGATTGAAAATTGTTTTACAGAGAATCACTGAATTCCAAACAAACATCCCATCAAGATCTGAGAGTGAGTCAATTCACCAGGAGTTGAAAACCATTGGATTTTCAATGTTTGTTTTGCCTGTGGGAAAAGATTTCCAACATCTGGAAATGCACCAAGACACTTCCAACCAAGTGAGTGTTCTGTTGAACTGACTGTGGATAGGTCTTGAACCAATTACAGAACCTGAATACCATCACACTACCCACAGAGGGGAGAAACTGTATCCCTGTCCTCTGTATGGACAAGGAGTTAGCTGATCACCCAATATGGAGAGACATGACACTTGCACCGCAGAAAAACCATGGAAATGTGCGGACTGTGGGAAGGGATTCAAGTACCCATGCTGGCTGGAAACTCATCGACGCAGTCACACTGGGGAGAGGCCGTACACCTGCTCTGTTTGTGGGAAGGGATTCATTCAGTCATCTGACCTTGAGAAACATGAACGCAGTCACACTGGAGAAAGGCCGTATGCCTGCCCTGAGTGTGGGAAGGGATTCACTTGTTCAGCTAACATGCTGACACACCAGAGAGTTCACGCTGGGGAGAAGCTTTTCCCCTGCTCTGAGTGTGGGAAGGGATTCACACAGTTAGCCCACCTTAAGGCACACCAACTTGTTCACACTGATGAGAGACCTTTCAAATGTTCGGAATGTGAGAAAAGCTTTAAAAGCAGACGTGATCTGTTGATACACCAACACATTCACACTGGGGAGAGGCCGTTCCCCTGCTCTGAGTGCGGGAAGGGATTCTCTCAGCAATCCCACCTTAAGGCACACCAACTTGTTCATACTGATGAGAGACCTTTCAAATGTGCAGACTGTGAGAAGAGCTTTAAAAGCAGACGTGAAGTGCTGATACACCAACGCATTCACACTGGCGAGAGGCCATTCCCCTGCTCTGTATGTGGGCAACGATTTGTCCAATCAAACAGCCTTCTGAGACACCAGCGAATACATGCGCGTGAGAAGTTGTTATCTGCTCCGTCTGTTGGAAAGGATTTACTCAGTCATCCAACCTCCTGAGATACCAGCGAGTTCACAAGTAACTGCAGGGCAGGCATCTGTTGCTGTTCTTAACAGAACTGTGATCTAGCCCCCTGGAGGATAGGTTATTGATGGGATGGAGGATTGATTCACCTCCCACCAGGAAGTAGATGCAGTGGAACGGGGAAATATGTGGTGCTTATGATGTGAGGTTGTGAGGCCAGCAGAGGCTGACATTGTATCAAAAAGAGAGCCTTTGTGACTGTGATTCATCATGTTTTAATTCATTCATTCAAAGTGTGTCCCATTGCAGGCAGAGCTGGGCCCACAAACACATTGAGACACAGAGAGGCTCAAAACCATATTCATAGACCCACACTGATATATAGGCACAAAACCAGATTCACAGACACATAAACGCAAACAGAGACATAGAGGCTCACAGGCACGCACTTCCCCCGGGACAAAGTGTGTCACATTGCAGGTAGTGTTTTTCACACTGACGAACACAGACACACAAAAAGACACAGAGACAAACTCAGAGACCGAAACAAGTGCAGATGAAGTGCGATGCCAACATATATATGTAGACACGCACCCATACAGACAGTCACAAACACATCCACATAGAGATACACACAGACACGATGTCTCTTGGTATATTGACAGGCTTGTTTAATAAACTCAAGTTCATTTGTAAAATAAACTCGTTAATTTGTATAAAGGGTCTGTTAACCGCTGTTCATTTGTAAAATGGATTGATTCATTTGTGGAATTCTCAGAAACTCATTAAAAGTAAACTTTCTGACTTGTTCATTTCAGTCCCATTTACACCTTCTGTTGATCTGTGTGAAAATCCTGTGTTCTTTTGTGAAATAAATTTGTGACCATTAGTTGCAGAATTCCATTGTCTAAATGAACCTGTGTTGTGGCTGCCGCTTGTTTGAAACTGCAGCTTTGTCTGTGTGGATTTTAAATCTGGGGCCAGTGTGTGAGGTGAGAAGCGGGACTGACAGAGGCAGACTGGATTAAACTATGGAGCTGCTGCTTTCACTCACGCCTCCTCATTACCCTCCACTGCATAATCTCACTAAGACACCCCTTGGTATGCTCCATTCCTGAGGGAGGTGTACCCCAGGTAGATGGAGCTGGCAGCTGACTGGATGAGCTGGGATATCGGTGGAGAGGGTGCTTTGAGTGACACATTTGAAGGTATTTAGAAGTAGGTCCTGGCTTCCATAGTTCCTTTTACCAGGTGGACGGAGCATGAGGTGAGTATTAGGTGGTTGCTGTCTGCTTGTGTGTGTGAGAATGAGTGTGGGCACTGTTGAAATCTCAATGCCACCCACCCCTCGCTGAGCCAGCCAGACTGAAACAAACCCTAGGAGCAGGGTTTGTCCTACATACGAGACAGGGGATGTGAGAAACCATCGAGAGAGCAGGGACCCACTGGGATGGTGAGTATTACATAGAATCATAGACCATAGAATCCCTACAGTGTGGAAACAGGCCCTTTGGCCCAAAAAGTCCACACCACTCCTCAGAGCATCCCATCACCCCCCAGACCCATCCCCCTATAAATCACCTAATCTACACATCCCTGAACACTGTGCAATTTAGCATAGCCAATCCACCTAACCTGCACGTCTTTGGACTGTGGGAGGAAACTGGAGTACCCGAAGGAAACCCACACAGACACCGGGAGAATGTGCAAACTCCAATCGCCCGAGGGTGAAATGGAACCCGGGTCCCTGGTGGGTGCTGTGAGGCAGCAGTGCTAACTACTGAGCCACCGTGCCGCCTAGGCACTATGTGTTTCTCTCTCTGTCTGTATCTGTCTCTCTCTCTGATTCTCTTTCTGCCTGTGTCTCTGTGTATGTGTGTGGGTATCTCTCTCTGTCTCTGCCTCTGTCTTGCTCTCTCACACTGTCTGTCTCTGTCTCTGACTTTCTTGCGCCCTCTCTCGCCGTCGCGTGCTCTGTCGCTGTCACCCTCTCTTTCGCCCTCGCCCACTCTCGCTCTCGCCCTTGACGTCTCCCCCTCTCTCACACTCTCCCTCTCTCTTGCTTTTGCCGTATCGCTCGCCCTCTTATCCTTGCCCTCACCCTCTCGCCCTTTCCATCTCCCTCCCTCTCGCTTTTGCCGTCTCGCTCACTGTCTCCCCACCCCCGCTCCCCGTGCTGTTTCCCTCTCTCTTGATCTCTCTTTTTGCTATCTCTCTCTCTCTTGCTCTAAATGCTCTCGCTCTTTTGCTGTGACAAAGACTGAGTGAGGTCACAATGACCTTGTCTTCCTGCAGTGAGCGAGGTCACAATGACCTTGACTCCCTCACTCCTTTTCAATCTCTGGCTCCTTGCAGTTCACTGCCAGAGATTGACGAGACAGGTTTGTGATCATACCGGCATTTGCTTGTCACACGTATTTATTATGTCAATCCATCCAGGTGAGCAGGCTGATGTAAAGACTTTGTACAATGATTCAATGCAATTGTTGATCAGAAATATTGGAATAATTGATAGTTCTGTACATGGTAGCTTATCAGACACTCAATGATTGACAGAGAATGAGATTAATTCTTTTAACCTCCTTTTGATTGTCCCTATATCTTCAAAGGCAGATAATTGCTATAAATCCATCATCAGTGGCAAAATCTGTGTTAAGGAGGATGTTCAATGCAATTAGACTGTGAATATGCAATGCCAGATATTTGCACTACACAAAAAAATCAACTAAAATGGGCACGGCCTTCAAACTAGTTTATTAACAAACTGAATATACACAACATTTTGAGATGATATCGGACAGTTGTTGACATGTCTTACAACGTGTCATTACCTCAACGTATGTAACCTGAGAGTGGAGGATGGATCATTCTATTACTCCGCTGTTACATCCTCTACAACAGAATCTTAGATTTTCCCAGTAACAGATGTTAGGCTAACTTTGTCTCCTACCCTTTTCACATAACGGTATTAACTGGCAGTATTCCAATCCTCTGGGACTTTTCCAAAATCTAGAGACTCTCGTAAGATGACTGCCAGTGCATCCACAAACTCTGTAACTAATTCCTTTCATACCCTCGGATGTTGCCCACCAGGTCCAGGGGATTAATTGTTCCTTAGCTTTATTAGCTTCCCTGTGAATGCTATGAGTGGCTTCTACAATGAAGACTGATTTAAGCTCTTTTTTCAACTCTTCTGCCATTTCCTGGTTCCCCACTATTATTTCCCCATTCAATCTCTAAAGAACTCACCACGTTGGGATTAAAAAAAAAGTGAAGAAATTAAGGGTTATAGAGAAGTGCCAGGACAGTGGAGTTTAGGACTATCAGATCTGCTGTGATCTCATGGAATAGAGAAGCAGACTCAAAAGGCCTACTTCTGCTTCAACAACTCATGATTGCCACCGTTTTTAAGATAATTGTCAGAAAGCTGCTGCTTCTGATCACATATACCAAATAGACGTCCTCCGTATGGATACCATCAGGATTCAACAGTCATTTGGACTGGCTCAATTGCTATTTAAAGGGTTGTTATTTGCTTATGCACAAGTAGGTTCAGGAACAGCTTCTTTCCAGCTGTTATCAGACTGTTGAATGGACTCTAGCCTCAAATAATGTAACCTATATGCCTCTAAGTCTTTTTGATCTGTACACCCTTTGCTTGCTGTGATCTGCCTGTACCATTCGTAAACAAAGCTTTTCACTGTATTTCGGTACACGTGACAATCAATCAATCAAACCGGAAGTAACTTGTCAATTTTCCACACAAGCGCGTGTTGCTCCACCAACTGGTGAATTTGACCACAGATGCAGCTTTTCATGAGTGTGGTAGGGGCAAAAATCCGATTAGGGATTCAAACACTACCTTCTAGGATTGATGGCGTGATTTGGGAGGAAACAATACAATCTAGGACTTTGGACAGGAAAGGCAGGTTCAAAATGAGACAGTTTCTTGCAGTAACTTGGAATGTGGATATGGCAGATTTATAGCAAAAAGGACAGTGCCTGTAGGAGCACCACTGACAAATGCAGCAAATAGAGAGCATTTCGGTCGTTAGCCATTTAGTGGGAATAGGGCCAATGGAGCAGGAATTGAGAGTCTTGGATAAGGTGAGCTCTGACAGGAAATAGCGGGGAAAGTGGAGAGTAGCGCACATTCAGAACTCAGTCACCGAAGAATTTGAGTTCTGAGGAAGGGTCACTGAACCCGAAACGTTAACTCTGTTTTTTCCTTCACAGATGCTCCCAGACATGCTGAGCTTTTCCAGCAACTTTGTTTTTGTACCGAAGAACTTGAGGCAGTTTCTCCCAGTGAGCATGTGGAAGGGAAGGAAGTAGGACAGGGAGCTGATTTGATTGTCTCAATCTTAGGAATGGAAAAAGAACATGTTAAAATGAAACTTAACAGGTCTGGCATAATCTGTGCAGAAAGAAACAGGTTAATTTTTCAGGTCTGTGAACTTTCATCAGGTCTGGAAAACATGAGAAATGTAATAGGTTTTGAACAAGGTGGGGGTGAGACAAGTACAAAAAGATGATCTGTGACAGGGTGGAAGATGGAAGATAAAATGACAAAAATATTTGTCACTCAAGGCCATGGGGAATAGAGCTGGGGCTGTACATGCAACAAAGAAACAAAAGATGTGCCTGGAAACAAATTGAAACAACAAAAATAAAAACGAAATAGGTGTCAGATTTGCAGTCTGACATTGCTGCTTTCACTGGTGAGTCCAGAAAGCAGTAAAGTGCCGAATTGAAAGATGAGCTGCTTTCTTGAAGTTTACTTTTAGTATCACTGGAGGAGTGGTGAGCCGACGATAGAAATGGCAATGTGAGAGCTAGGTGGAGAATTAGAAATGTGGAATGCACTGCCCCAACAGGTTGTGGATACCAAGAGCCAAACGAGCATTTTAAAACTGAGATGTTAGATTTTTGCTAAGAGCTTCAAAGGATTTGGAATATGGATCAGAAATAGCAAGAACTGCAGATGCTGGAGTCAGAAATAACACAGTGTGGAGCTGGAGGAACACAGCAGGCCAGGCAGCATCAGAGGAGCAGGAAAGTTGATGTTTGGGGTCAGGACCCTTCTTCAGAACTTTCCTGCTGCTCTGATGCTACCCAGCCTGCTGTGTTCCAGCTCTACACTATGGAATATGGGTCAGAACTGATTGAGTTGGGTGCTACAGGGTCTGCATAGCCTCTTTCTGTTCCAAGTATTTATCTGACACATTCAAAAATTCTCCAGGGCTGTGAAAAGTTTTATTTCATTCATTCATCACTGCCATAACCAATATTTATTGCCGATTCCTGATTGTTCTTGAGAAGATTGTGGTGAGCTGTCTTCTTGTACTGTTGAAAGTGATATATTCTCTCCAAAGTATTACATTACAGGACCCTCTTCTTCCAGGAGACCTGCACTTCCTTAGTGCAAGCACTTCTTTTTATGAAACAGCCAGGTAATTCATGAAAGAAAAACAGAAATTTCAAGAAAATCTCAGAACGTCTAGCAGCATATATGGAGAGAAAACAGAGTTAACATTTCATGTCCAGTGACCCTTCTACAGGAACTAATTGCATTTAATAAAGTGCATTTAAGACAGAGATAGACAGATTATTGATTAGTAAGGGGATCAAGGATTATGGAGAGGAGACAGTACAATGGGGTTGGGAAATATATCAGCCATGATCAAATGGTGGAACAGACTCAAATGCTGCTCCTACAACTTAAGGTCTTATGGTCTGAAGAACCGTTATCTGTGTGACACACTCAGAGACCCAACTGTTTACAACACATCCATTAATTTTTCAGTCAAATATTTGACAATATTAGAGGACTCTTTGGTTTTGTACCAATTCACTACTGGGATAGAGGGTACAGAGTGTGTGTAGATGGTTCTGTTCCTGCTGTATGATCGTCCTTCCTGAATTTGGCCAGACCATGTTAAACAAACAGATAGGAAAGATGACAGAAAATCTCAGAGAAAGGTAATTTATTTTCATTTATCCAGAATATAAAAACTCATCAACAAATCAGGATCATCTGAATGAATATGGTTCAGTCTTTGATATGATTAACAGATTCAACAAGTGTAGAATCCAGATGTTTGTGAACTTGCTGGTGTGTTAGAAGGTGAGATACCTGAATGAATCCCTTCCCATGGACATTACAGGTGAATGGCCTCTCCCCAGTGTGAATCCTTTGGTGTGGCTGCAGGTTGGATGACTGAGTGAACCCCTTCCCACGTGTGGAACAGGTGAACAGCCTCTCTGCCGATTCATTCAGTTGGACGATCAAGTGAATTCCTTCACACACACAGAAGGTGAAAGGCTTCTCCTTAGTGTGAACCTACTGATGTGTCAGAAGGTTATATGAACAGGTGAATTCCTTCCCACAGGAGAGCAGGGGAAAGGTCTGTCCCCTGTGTGAAGTTGCTGGTGTACCTGCAGTTTGGATGAATTAATAAATCCTTTCCCACACACAGAGCAGGTGAATAGTCTTCCCTCAATATGAATCCACTAGTGATACAGTAGGCCAGATGGACATGTGAATCTTTTCCCACATGTCGAGTAAGCGAATGGCCTCTCCCCAGTGTGAATCCGCTGGTGATACAATAGGCCAGATGGACAAGTGAATCCCCTCCCACACACAGAACAAGTGAATGGCCTCTCCCCTGTGTGAGTGTACTGGTGTGTCAGAAGATACTTTTTTTCTTTTAAAGCTCTTCTCACACTCAGAACAATTAAAATTTGTGATTAGAGTAAGCAAGTTGGTATGTCTGAAGGTGGGATGACTGAGTAAATGCCCTCCCACAGACAGAGCAGGTGACTGGCCTCTCCCTAGTGTGACTGCACCGATGAACATCCAGTTGTGATGGGTAATTGAGTCCATTCCCACAGTCACCACATTTCCACAATTTCCCCATGGCGTAGTTGTGTTTGTTTGGATGATCAGCTGAAGCCTTGCCCATGCATGTACAATTTCTCTCTTCTGCAAATGCTGTGATGTTTTTTCAGGGTATGCCACAGAACACTCTCACTCAGTTCTATTTGTGTGTCTTGTTCCTTTTCCAATCTTTTGATATCTTCTCCTTTTAACAGAGCAAATCTCCTTCTACAGTCAGAGGCCGATGATACTCAGGATTGAATGAATCGAGTGATTCTGTCAGATGCAGATGTGGCGCTTGGTTTGAATTTCCTGTATGAAATCCTCCTCCAATACTGTGTTAAAAGAGATGACAAAGCCCTCACTATCAGTACAGAATTGAAATTCAGAACAGATAATTGCAGTTTCTCTGGAATATTCTTTTACTGACTGTCCCAGCCGAACCATTGTCTCTGCCTGCTCCTGCCCCACTGAACTTTTCTCCGCTTACCTTAACTCTGTTTTCTCCCCGGTCCAGGAACTCCCCACCTATGTACGGGACACCACCACGCCCTCCACCTTCTCCAAGACTTCCAATTCCCTGGCCCCCAACACCTTATCTTCACGATGGACATCCAATCCCTGTACAGTTGTATCCCCCATGCAGATGGCCTAAAAGTCCTCTGCTTCTTCTTTCCCGCAGGCCCAACCAGTCCCCCTCCACCGATACCCTCATCCGCTTAACCAAACTCATCCTTACCCTTAACAACTTCTCCTTCATCTCCTCCTACTTCCTACAGACTAATAGGGTAGCCATGGGCACCTGCATGGGCCCAAGCTATGCCTGTCTCTTCGCAGGATATGTGGAATAGTTCTTCTTCCACTGCTATACTGGCACTATACCCCACCGCTTCCTCCGTTACATTGATGACTGTATCAGCGCTGCCTCGTGTTCCCACATGGAGCTTGAACAGTTCATCAACTTTACTATCACCTTTCACCCCAACCTCAAATTCACCTGGACCATCTCTGATACCTCCCTCTCCTTCCTGGACCTCTCTGTCTCCATCTCTGGTGACCGCTTCAAAACCGACATCTATTTCAAGGCTACTGACTCCCACAGCTACCTAGACTACACCTCCTCTCACCCACCTTCCTGCAAGAATGCGATCCCCTACTCCCAATTCCTCTGCTTCCACCGCGTCTGCTCCCAAAATGGGGCGTTCCACTCCTGCACATCCCAGATGTCCTCCTATTTCAAGGACCGCAACCTCCCCCCTCTGGTGATCGAAAATGCCCTCAACCACATCTCTTGCATTTCCCGCATCTCTGCCCTCACATCCCCTGCCCCCAACAAAAATAAAGACAGAATCCTCCTTGTTCTCACATATCAGCCACCAACCTCCGCATCCAACATATCATTCTCCACTACTTCCGCCACCTACAATCAGACTTCCCTCCTGACTCCAATCTGCCTTTCATAGGGACCGCTCTCCATGACACACTCCCCATTAACCCCACCACTCCTGGCACCTTTCCCTGCAACCACAGGAAGTGCTACACCTGCCCCTACACCTACACCCTCACCTCCATTCAAGGCACAAAATAAACCTTCCACATTAGACAGGGGCTCACCTGTGCATCTGTCAACATGGTCTACTGCATACGCTGCTCCCCATATGGCCTCCTCTACATTGGTAAGACCAAGCGGAAGCTCAGAGACCATTTTGTAGACCATCTGCGCTGTTCGCCAGAAATGACAACACCTTTTGGTCGTGAACCATTTTAATTACCCCTCTCACTCCCGAGGTGACAGTCCATCCTGAACCTCCTCCAGTGTCACAATGACACCACCCGCAAATTGGAAGAGCAGCACCTCATATTCCACCTTGGGAGCCTACAGCCCAATGGCCTAAATGTGGATTTTACCAGTGCCAAAATCTCCCCACCCCCGGCCTAATCCCATGACCAACCCTCCCTCTCATCCCTGCCTCCTTGACCTGACACAACTTGTCCATCTTCTCTCCCACCTATCTGCCCCTCACACCTCACTGACCAATGCCCACCACTCCCTACCTGGACTCACCTACCTTCCCCAATTCCACCTCACCTCACCTCACCTCGCTTCTCCTATTTATTTCTGAGCTTCCTTCCCCCTTCCTATTTTTGAAGAAGGGTTCCGAACCAAAACATCAACTTTCCTGCTCCTCTGATGCTGCCTGTCCTGCTGTGTTCCTCTAGCTCCACACTGTTTTTTCTCTTCCTTTATCTTCTGTTCTCCCAAAAACGTGATCCAATCAAACCAAACTAACTCTAAATGAGTAACAAAGCCTCAAGAAATACAAAGGGAACCTGCCTAACAAAGTCAGAATGTTATCACCAATGTCTATGAGATGCTCCATACCAAGGCACCCAGTAGCTGTAGAAACTGTCACGTGGACTCAGTTTTTCATTTTCGTGCACTGGGACCCAGTTGAAACCAGACAACAAAAGACTTGAGACAACAAGGTGCAGGGCTGGATGAACACAGCAGGCCAAGCAGCA